TCTAGGTAATCTTTGAGTGCAAGTGACAACTGATCAAATTTGAAAGAAATTCCTTTCAGGCAGACATGAGATATCATGTTCAAGAAGCCAAAAACATTATGAGGCCCATGTTATGAGGTCACCATGACCTTGACCTTTGGCTCCCAAAATTTAATCAGTGCATTTTTGAGTCCAAGTGAATGTTTGTGCCAAATGTGAAAGCAATATCTCAAGAATGCCTACCTTCATGGAAGGTCACATAAAAACATTGGTGGGTGCATCAACTGGTGTGTGGACATTGCTCCTCTTCTTATTTTACCTGTAGCATTGCTTATCTCTCCCTCAGGATTTGGTATACAGTCATAACAGCAGATGGGTTTCCCTTTCTGCAACACTTTACGAGTTCCTGCTGGACAGCTGTCCGTGCACACAGAAGTAGGCACCTGTCACACACAGACAAACAAAGTCACACAGATATCCCACTCTGGCATCAACACAGCAGGTCAGTGTTAAATCATGGCTCCTCACCTGTGTGCCACCCTCCACCCACATGAGGTTCCTGTTGATGTGGAATTCCTGGCCGACCGGCAGCGACGGATCATAGTGCCCGACTGTCACCAGCTCAATGCTGCCACTCGCACTTTGCCAGTTGACCAGCTCATATGTGGCCACTGGGTCTCCGTTGGCATCAAACGACACATCATAACCATTCTGGGAAAAACTGACTTTCTTCAGCTCAGTAAGAACCTGCAGGGATGAAATCAAAGAAGACAGGAAAATAAGGAAATCAGTATATTTTCATCTTGGTATGTCTATGACGTATTGGTTCGGACTGACCTGTTTGGACTCTATCCTCGTGAGTTTGTCACACTGAATTGTAGAGTTAGTTTTCCGGCACACTGCATTATGAATGGCATGAGCTATTGCATAAACGGCCTTGTACACCATGTTAGTGATGCGGAGCTGAGACGTGTCGGTGTACGGGCTCTGGAGCGTCTGTACGTCTTCAGTTCCATCACATAAACTCTCTCCTGTGGCTGCACCTAATAACATGAGGAGGAGACTTTGTTAAATGAAAAACATATCTTCTTTGCAAACTTTTATATGATTGCAGACTGCTGCTAAATCAATATTTTTGTCACTTTCCTTTTAAATAACTATATTATATTCTTAATGTTCTCCATTGTTAAGTTTACTTTTGTATGATTATTTATCTTCATACTTTTTATTAATTTATAAATGTTTGTTTTATATTTTCTTCTCATGTTTCGTCATATTTGTCATGTATCTATCACACATAAACAAACTTGAGTTACCATGCAGCTCCACAAATTGTGACAGTCAACAACATAACACAACTGTGAGTGTCACCATGCTTAAGAGGAAAAAATAGGCACAGCTTCCTCACTTTGGCCCAGCCTGCATCTGAATTCACTCTCCCAGAACTCAGTCAGCAGAGGGGACGCAGCCACTTTGGTGAGAGGCAGATCCAGCAGGAAGTCCCTCAGACCGGGGATGACAGATTGCTGGATGCCAATTCCAATGGCCCCGGCGCAGAAGGAGAACCTCAGCAGCTCTGAGTCAGTCACCCAGGCCTCGCTTCCTAACCACTGGCGAGGAGGGGAAGGCTCCCGGGACAGCTCCTCAAACAGGATCCTCATGTCTCCAGAGGCCGCAAAGGCCACAACAACTGTGGCTGTCGACCTGGAGAAATGATATCATGCATTATACACAAAGTTAACATGAAATGTTTTAATCTGGATAAAGATCTTTTTAAACCATTAAACATGAGAACATCAGTGTTTTGAATGTTCAGTTTCTCAATTACTTTATTTATTCAGGTCTATAAGAGCAATAAACAAAATAATAATGTTATTATTTTGTATTTGTCACCAAAATCATTTTCTAATCCTCTAATCTTATGTTTGTCTGAATGTGTTTTGAGTTTTAATGTGCAGAAGCTCAGTGTCAACAAAGTCAGAAACCTGCGGATCACTTCAGCCACTCTCTGGATCTTGCTGCGTGGGTGGGTGCGATAGAAAGACTCGGAGTACTCCACGCAGATCCCCTCTTTGTGCGCTGCGTCCAGGAAAGATGCCATGCCGTTGTTGCCATAGTCCGAATCCGAGCGCACAGCACCGATCCACGTCCATCCGAAGTGCTTAACCAGTTTGGCCAGCGCGTTGGCCTGGAACTGGTCACTGGGGATCGTCCTGAAGAAACTCGGGTACTGCTGCTTGTCCGACAGGCAGGCGCACGTGGCATAGTGGCTCACCTGGAGTAAAACAGAGGGGTTCTACGTCTCCAAAAACAACTAGATGATTAGCAGTGGTTTCCAATGAATGAATTGAGTAGAAACAGAAATGCATTTACTTGAGGGATGTGAAAGGGCCCGATGACGCGCGACATGCTGATGGATGGCGTGGAGCCGGACTCGCCAACGATGGCCATCACCTTTCCAGACTGGGAGCAGTTGTAGTCGTTGCCGGGGCTGAACTCCGGGTCCAGGCCGTTGGAGAGCTGGAAGGCCAGACGCACCGCCATTGGCACCGAGGCGCATGAGTCGTAGATGTGATAACCCAGAGTGACGCCCGGCAGCAGGCGCGAGCTGTTATTGATCTCCTCGATGGCGAAGACCATGGCGCGTGAGAAGCGCAGTTCACGGGAGTCGATGCTGCACATGCACACATGTATGTAAGCATGTTGGAATTTATGTAGGATGGGATCACAGGTTTTAATGGGAAAAGCATGGGTCTAATAATACCAATAATATGAACAGAACTACTAATAATAATTATAGTAATAATCACGATWATAATCTTAGCCTTATCATAATAATGGAAAAACCACAGGCATAATAATAATTATTATTATTATACAAATAAAACCATTCCTATTCAAATATTACTACTACTACAGCTAATAATGATAGTAATAACAAATAACCACAATCATCATCATTATGACAATCATATTTAAAAGATTAATAGCCCTGATGTTAATAATAATATAACAATAACTTTTTCTATAGCATCTTTAAAAACAGCTGTTACAAAGTAATAAAAACATAGACCAATAATAATAATGCATGGAAATAGTTTACTAATTTCACAGTGTTAATCACTTCTTATTCTGTGAAATATTAACTAATTAGATGTTGATAGCAACTGTTTCCATTTAAGAAACACAAATCACAATATTTTCTCCTATAGCACCACAGTATAAATATTGAATATAACACATGTAATTTAAGATTACAAAATGAAAACAAGATTTGAAGCACAATATACAAATTAAACATTCATGTCCCCACACGGGCTAACATCCTTTTATTCCTCACTTTTCCCTGTTATACTAACCTCCCCGTGCACCTCAGAGGCTCAGGCACCGTGGTGTAGTTGTACCTCACTGTGTGCATGTAGTAGTGTATGGAGAAAACACCCCCAACAACATAGTCACCATCCATTGAGAAGGCAGGTGGATCTGYGGTACCCTGCAGCTTACATTTGATCCCAGCCCCGTTCAAGCCGATAGCTGAGTTTAGCTCAAACAAACCCAGAGCCCATGCGAGGCAAACAAAGAGAGCTGAGATCCCCATCCCTCAAGTGTCTGCATTTGGGCAATGAGTGTGTAATCCCTGGTTTTTATAGTTTTTCAGACAAACGATCCCCTCCTACTGTACGTCAGCTTATACTGTACATCACAGAGAGGGTGTCCTTCATCAGTATTGTTTAGTTCCTGAGGCTGTATGAACTAGATAACCTCCACTTAGTGCCTCTGTTTCTCTTCTACTCTTGTAAAGTTACTATTATAAACAAACAAGGCCCAACAGTCCCATTTAAATTCAGCCGAGCCACACAACATTTCACACACTCATGGATATCAGTCTTCTAAACACCCAATCTCACATTGTTAAAGAAAGTGAGGGGGGGAAGTTAAATTTGATGGGTTCTTGTCTTGGTCCATGTCTCATCATTTTACCAAGCTCTGTGAAAACCCGTTCCAAAGTTTTTATGAAACCTGCTGAAAAAACGAACAAACAAACAAATGGAAAGGGGCAAAAACATTACCTCCTCGGTGGAGGTAACTAAGCAACCACTTGATTATAACTAATACCCAAAACAGAAACTCACTTAAAATATAGTATGATACGAGCAACTCAAAACACAACAATTCAAATAATAATTAAAAGGACATATAAATAGGACAATAATGGCCCACAGTCATACAGTGTGTTTTTGTGTAAAATGCAGAGACCTATGAAGGAGTACTCTAAAGTGAACACAATGAGATGGAAGGTGGTAATTATTAGAGTCATTTAGTATCTTACAGGAACCCCCCCTTAGACGATGTGCTCACCCAAAACACTAGTAAATGTCCATTTGTTTAGTTCAGCTTTTACTAGACTGTAGAGTTGTACTTTTTAATGATGGGTCACCGATTCCTCTCTACAATGAGGTTTATTATAGCGAGGGGGGGGCAAAAATCCCCATTTAACATAGAATAAGTATTTATTGATGCCTTTTCTTTTTTCTTGTCTTTAATCTCCATYGTACAATCCGACTTGTCTCCTTAATGTGTGTTTTATATGAAATGACTATTTATTGATCTTTCCATTCAAAATAGATCATGGTGACCGGAGACAGAAACTCAAGATGACCTCCAACTTAACAAAAACAAAATCATTAAAATCAAAAGTGATGAACAGAAAATACAGTAAATGATGTAATCATGTGTATAAACTTGATATGAGCTCTCCCTCCCCCACATGTCAACCCAAGCCCTGATGGGCGGTATGAAACTATAAAGAAAATCACCCTGCATATAAAATCAAGCACCCCTGCACTAAGATCAGAGACATGGCTGCAGGACCGACGGCAGTAATGGGGCCATTTCTACACACATCTTTCTTTTTTCATGGCTTCTCACTGTTGATTATGTTCTCTTTCTCCTTTTYCTCATCTGAGTCTTCCTCTCACTCCTCATCCTGTAARCTTAGGAGGCAGTTTTATCTTAATGGGATGCACAAGCCTGGTGATGTGATTCTGGGTGGGTTGTTTGAAGTCCACTACACCTCCGTGTTCCCTGAGCTGACGTTCACCTCAGARCCGAATCAGCTCAGCTGCCAGGGGTAAGGCTCACACTCCTGCAGAATAGAACAGTTTTTTTATTATATTATATCAACATATAAAAGTTAACAGTGGTTAATTATGTCTGTTTATATGTTAGCCTTGACCCTCCAGGGTTCAGACATGCCATGACCATGGCCTTTGCTATCGATGAGATCAACAGAAGCGTTGACCTGCTGCCTGATGTGACTCTGGGTTACAGTCTGTATGATAACTGTGCCACGCTGGTGATTGGATTCAGTGCTGCGTTGTCTCTGGCCAGCGGTCGAGAGGAGCACTCTCTGCTCCAGGAGACCTGTGTGGGTCCTCCTCCAGTCCTAGGGATTGTGGGTGATYCMTTCTCAACGTTTTCTATCGCCACCTCTGATGTGATAGGTTTATTCAGATTGCCCATTGTAAGTTTTTACAGTCTTAGCTTTACTTTTGATGCTTTATTTAAATAAGTCTAACATGTTMAAGTGGTTTGATTAGGACRTGTAAGGACTTCTTTATTTTCATGAATTTTTGAATTAATTCTGGTRGCCTGCATGAAAAGCAAGTCCTGTATGTACACCATTGTTTATTTTATAGGTGAGTTATTTTGCCACGTGTTCCTGCCTGAGTGATCGTCAAAGATTCCCRTCTTTCTTCAGAACAATACCAAGTGATGCATTTCAGGTAAAACTSTGAGATAGCAGTTATTATGGCTCACAGGAAGTTGTATGCACATCATAGATGTCCCCTGGATGAAAGTTGTTTTCTCAGACACAATACTTYATTTGTTTAGTGCAACATTTAAAAGAAAGAGCACAATAAGAACAATTAACTGAGAGACGTGAACTAATYTTTCCCTCTGCTCACTTAGGTGCGTGCCATGATTCAGATACTGAAACATTTTGGCTGGACATGGGCAGGTCTGCTGGTCAGTGATGATGACTATGGACTCCACGTTTCCAGATCTTTTCAGTCTGACTTGGCTGCGTCCGGTGGCGGTTGTTTGGCCTACACAGAGACCTTACCCTGGGGTGACAACCCAGTCGAACTAGGGAGGATTGTGGAAGTGATGAAGAAATCCACAGCTCGTGTGGTCATCGTGTTYGCACATCAGATCCACTTGATACAATTAATGAAAGAGGTATTTATTTATSTAACTCTTGTTTYGACTTAAGCTCTRAGAGTCAGCGTCACTTTAAATTGTTCTTTGTCTCTTAGTAGGTGTATTACAYYGRTCTGAGTKTTGTATTTTCTATATTTTATWATTGTCCTGTGCTGCAAAGTAAACTATAGCTGTTATACAGTCTGAAAAAAAAWATATTCAATATAATGTAATGCACAGGTGGTGAAGCAGAATGTGACAGGCCTGCAGTGGATGGCCAGTGAAGCCTKGACATCAGCTGCTGTGCTACAGTCRCCCGACTTCATGCCGTACCTGGGYGGAACACTGGGCATCGCCATCCGTCGGGGAGAAATACCAGGACTCAGGGATTATCTTTTACACATACGTCCTGACAGTGAAGACAACAATAACAATGGAAATAGCATGGTGAGATTATAATCTTACAACCAGATCAGTGACTATATAATAWTGAAATACTATTATCTTTAAGTCTTTAAATCCATTCCAGGTGAGGCAGTTTTGGGAACACACATTTCAGTGTAGATTTGCTCCAGCTCCAACAGCTTGGATGGAAGCAGCAGGAGCGTTGTGCACTGGGGATGAAGACATAGAGAATGTGGAGACGGAGTTTTTAGATGTCTCTAACCTCAGGCCTGARTACAATATTTACAAGGCAGTGTATGCTCTGGCATACGCACTTGATGACTTGCTGCGCTGTGAGCCAGGGAGAGGACCTTTCAGCGAGCACAGCTGTGCTGCTGTGCAGAACCTGGAGCCATGGCAGGTGTGAAATCAGTTTACAACCTTTTTTTTA